GCTAATGATAGCTATCAAAACGCCTGCCATTTGAAACAAAATAATCTTTAATGACTTAATCAGAAAATTGAAAAGCCGATAAGTAAATAACTCGTAATTTGGTGGAAAAAACCAGTAAACAAGAATGCTTCCTCGAGGTAGAAAGTATGCCTAACTCGAATAGCCTCACACAATAAAAAACAAGGAGATAGTCAAGATAGGGAGTTTGAAAGCCCAAAGTACGTTACGACAGAGGAATTCGAAGTAGGTTAAGCTAATAAGCCTGTCGAACTAAAAGGGGGTGTTATGGCATTGTGCAGACTAATACGAGCCATTACAGATCTAGGACTTGAATTACACACAGTCACAATCCTATGCTGCTTGATACAACACATCAGCTGCGCTATTTCTCCATAAGATTTTTATTCCACTATTATACATCATAATACGCTTCTAGCCCATCCTATCTTACCTACAGCACGTTCTTTGAAATGTATTAACTTTGGCCAACCTACTTACAGGATAAAATAACTAACCTGTAATGCGACGGGTAGACTAATAACAGTTAACCTTACGAATATATTTGTACCACTGTTTTTAAAGTAATAAGTTCCGACAAAAATGCTATTTTATTCTATCGATTCCAGATCAATCACAGCCATGTCAAGATTGCGGCGTCTCATTAGTCCTCATCGTCTTTTTCTCCCTCCTCAGTGAAGACCTCGAAGATAAGCAACAGCTTAGAAAATTGTCCTTACCTCGCTTTAGTAATTCCCAACTTATAACTTCTCTAAAAATTTTTATAATGAGATACCATAATGCTCTAATGATTATTATACCAATCAATTCATTTTTGGCTTACTATTGGAGTCATAGAGACCAATTTTACTATTTTACGTGTCTCTAGGTCCCTTAAATGATTATATAAGTTCACGCATAGGACTCATTATCTCAAAAAAGGCAGTAGAGGAAGGGAAATATAGACTAAGGCCGACATAGTACCAAGAAATAAACGACTAGAGCCACCAAGTAGACAACTACCAGTTCACTGGTCGCAGATTTAGTCACGAGGGGAAAAGTATTCATTCTCAGCTCTCCATACGCGTCCACTAGCGCAGCACATTGGTATACACATATATGCATAATTCACTAAACAGCGTCACTGTGTTCTCATTATCTTCGGTAGCTATTATTCCCTAACGCGGTGTATACGTACATACACGCACACACACACACATTGACTTTCCACAAAACGCAAGGACAGCTCAAATAAAAAGTAGAAGTGAGTGGACACACATGAAAAAGTGAAAGGACACGTCACTTTGCGACTAAAATCTACCCCTCTCACCATACTCTGACTCCTTGGAGCGTCTTAAATGGTTAGGCAAGATAAGGTGTGGAAGAAATAATAATTGAAGAGCCTTTAGACAGTGAATCGAATAAAATAGTTGGATTCATACTACTCCTACCTACATTGTAGTCCACTTACCAGTTTGGCAGATTAAGTGAAAGTAATTCTAATTGGACTAACGAAGGCGATATTGAGAAACGACTAGCCATTGCCTCTTTTCAACTCACAGTTGATCGACATTTAAGGTGCTGAATATGTAACTTGAAAAGAATATTTACAATTAATACACACCAAATGGTTTGCTAAGTATTAGCACCGCAATAAAATTATCGAAACTAAAGCAACGAAATGAGTACACGAGGAGTAAGAAATATGTTTCGTGTCTCTGTTGTTAGCCACTTTCAAAATCCATCTAGTTGACTCAAAAGGACTTAGGTTTTTAGAAAGCCTATCAGCTTGTAACACACCCCCAAACTAAACCTAAAAACTGCCAAATGAAAGTATAAATTAGTTATTTTCGCTTGAAACAATGTCCACACACTTATTATGTGGGCATCATTCATTGTTTGAGAACTCGTCCGTGGCGAGTATAAATCCCAGGACTAATGAAGGGTAAGGCAAAAAAAGGATCAAAGACTCATCTCAACAGAGTTTGTGATCTATTTACTCCGGTGTTGACAACTCACAATCGCACTTAGGAAAGCTTCGCTAGCACTCAATTCGAAAGTGGATAGCATCGTACAGCCCCATGGTGAGAAAGTAACATTCCATCGACCGCTTTATTGCGCATACGGGACCCGTGAATAAGGCCGTTCACCTCATTAGCTACGCATCGAGAGGCACATCGAAACCATAGAAACCGAAGTAAAAGACGAGCATGATGACCGATACGAAACCGGCACATTCTGTGAGAAAAAAAGCACTTCGCAAGTAGTAAGCAGACAATTTATACCTGATTCAATAAACGGGATCGGCAAAGTTTAATCGCAGTCAAAATGAAAATAAAGGGAATCCTTGTGAAACATAGAAATATGGGCAAAAATACCATACATAAAGAACTTAACTTATTGAATGTGAATTTTAAATTAGGTAGTGCGAAAAGCGCGATCGTCAATAGGTTCACGCGAAAGACAGCTTACAAGAGCAAAATGAAGTTAAACGATATTTAACTACGAATTATAGTGTAATCTAGGAGTGTGCGATAGACTTACCTCCACGTGGTGCACCCTGGGCAACGTATATTCATACAAGCCGGCAGTTGACTTCTCACTTCAAAATACCATCACCCACTGTATGTCAAATTCGACTACTTCCACAGTACTCACCTCACCTTTTTTCTACCTTCGTATTTGAAACACTCTCCCCCCCCCTCTCGAATTTTTTCACTTTGATGTTCCTTCCCCTCTGTGAAGCCTGAAGTCAACTAAAGGGCTAATGATAACCATCAAGACGCCTGCCATTTGTTATAAATAAATAAATAATCTAATCTAAAAGGCTCCAACTTTTCGCGTCCATCCAAAAAATGATTCCGCAGACTCTTAGGTGTAACGACAATCGAGAATTGATAGCTATGATAACTCATTCATTTGTTCCTTTTTGACGTAAGCTAAGGAAAGCAGAAGTAGAGGCATTATTGTCGTTTTAAGTGCAAATACATTCACATCAGTTCATGACGTTCGTCACAAAGCGATAATTCTGAATTCGGATGATTTCAAGAATAACTCCTAATGATTGATCGCCAATAAAAATGACGAGACAAGATTAAATTACAACGACAATCATACCTTTGAATGAGGCTAAATTAAATATCTCTCAAAAAGAAAAAGAATTGAACATCTTCAATGGCCTGAGTGAAATTCATGAGAATATGTGAGCTGAGTTCATCCCAGGACAATGGACTGTTCGATCACTATTCTTTCACGATCAGACCTAGGAATTATGGTTTTCTCACAGCTTTACCTTTTCCAACGACAACGTTGGTAAGAAAAAAACCATTGTTGTCTGCGAAATAAGCACTCATTCCATCTGCGAAGTCAGGGCTCAATTGCAGTACCTTTTGATGTATTTGAAAGAATGAATGTGGTGAAAAAAAAAACGTTAAGAATTGCTAAAGTCGAGTAAAACAGAAATTGGGAAGACTAAACCAGAAATAATAGTAAATTTTCAAGTTCATTTGACAGGAAAGGGAGCATTCTTCAACACCGAAATTGCGGCCCCAGCCCCATTAAGGAAGGAATAATCTTCCAAAAGAGCCCAAGAGGTTCTATTACTCCTCCCCCCCCCCCCCAATTTTCGTTAGACCTCCCTCCCTTCCCATTGCCACTCGAAAATAAAAAGAATTTCAAAATGCGTTTAGAGTTGAAAATCACCTGAAAGACTATTTTAATGAAAAAACCAAGTATTTATTAAAAAGGGGATAGAAAAACTGAAAAAGAGAAATAGGAAAGAGTCGAAAACGATAGTGAAAATTAGATTATGTAATATCACAAAACAAATGAGGTCAGTAACATTTCGATGGTGCTTATGAACTGCGTGATTTCCTATGGCTATCCCCAGCATAAAGTGTCACCTTCTAATAAAGGGGCAGAAAGGTAAGTAGGTGATAAGGTCTAGTTCCTACAAAGATTGAACAGATCTGTAAGATAGGTGATTGATTTTAATAACATGCAAGCCACCAACTCTCCAAAAACACCAAGGCAAGTTCGTTTAAATTAAGGAAAAAAAACAATAAGAATACGAAGAGAAGAGATACAACGATTCCCATTATATGCACAATGACCGATGGTAAAAGAAAGCCAGGGAATTTACTATCGAGTTCTTATTACAAATCTGCGTTTCAATTTACGTTCACGATGAAAGTTTGGTGAATTCTCCAGCTTCTGCCACAGTTAATGAATTATAAATGAACCTACTAACTCCTAATGTCATAAACACTTAAGACTTCACCTCTAATTATGCATTACTTACATTCGACCATGACGCTCAGCGCAATGCACCAAACCACAATTCTTAGACAGAAAGGATTCATCAAAGTTGACTGCAGAAACGGGTGAGAGAGTTGTTGAATCAGGCGCAACTTCCTTACAACTTCCTTCGGAGAGACTCACCGAGGTCACAGGCGTGGTAGAGATACGAGAACGAGAAGTTGGTGGGACAGCATAAGAACCTTCTTGGTTGGCAAGGAAGAGAGCCGTTCGAAGCTCTGAAATCTCCTCTTCCTTCTCTGTAAGAAGATTGAGTGTCTGTTCACGATATCGACGAGCCTCGGATTCCATTCGTGCTAACTGTGCCTCGTGTCGAGAGTTTGCCTCTACTAAACGTTCTGAAGCCTCATTCTCGGCCGCTAAAAATAAAAACAGAAGTAAAAGTTACCTGTTTGAGTTTGCAACTGGTAGATGGAATATCAAATGACAACGGATATTCTTGATCAATAAATAGGTGGAAAAATTCTACTTTCTCAGTCCTAGCCTCTTTGATATAGTTCCTCTGCCGAAACTCACTATTTGGAAAAGAGATTCCTTAAGCGGCATAAATTTTAATTAATGAAGTAAAAATGTAGCGTTTCCTTACTTATCTGAATAGTCCAAGGATATCCCCAATGAATTATTCATTACCCTAACGTAACACGCTCCTTAAAAAAGGGGCGATGCATTAATAGTGCATTAGCAGAATAGAATCAAACGAATTAGGAAGAGATTAAAACGCAAATGTTCATGCATACGGGATTTGCACTATATTCAGAGAAAGTTAATAATCACCTAAGACTTATTAAACAAGGCTTTATACAAGAGGACATAAAGGCAAATAAGAAAAGGCGAGATAGAAAGGGGGGACCGAAAAATTTAGAGGTTACAAGCGTGAGAAAGAATCATCTCCTCAAGGCGCCTACTCATGACTCAAGTAACATAGAGAGCATGATTTGCCCACGGTAAACCCACATTGGCCTGCGTGCTGGCAAGCGCCTCCACATTGGCTGGCGAGGCAGCTGGCTTTCCTACCTCCTAATTGCTCGATAGCAAGGCACCCGATAGCTTGCACACACTGCCGTGTTTTCGAGAATAATGGCAGAATACCCCTATATCGTTTATACTGCACCGCAGTATAAACGAGCTTGATTGGCATACCTACTACCTAACCGAAGGCAAAGAAAACAACGCTAAAAACCTGCTCCTTGGGAAATTTTATGTCAATTTGATTGATAGGAAAGAGCTCTTTAAAAGACAATATAGAAATTTCAATACACTGTCCGCGGTTGTACAATATGACAATAATAATATGACAAAAATACTAGTAGCTCAAAGACGATTTCTCTTCACTTTATTTCGATGACAGTGTTGACTGCACTTAATAACCTGAATACAGGAGATATATATTAGCTATTTCCTTGACAATCCTTTCATAGAAATTTGTCGATTCTAACGTAAAGAACCAAAACGTCCGATTACGATACCCGAAAAAATGAAGCCCTTTCAATTTCGATTGAAATTTATTCTAAGACGTTGATTCTAAAGGGTTTTCTGATAACTGAGCGACAATTTGTGTTTGCAATTTCCCCTTGACATAAGACGTTACCTCCAATGATGCACACTGAGCCACTTCTTAGAAATGACGATAATTTCATTTAAATTTACTGCGAAACTAAGCAACATAGTAAATGAAATACAAACACTTCTGCTATCACAAAGTAAAGTAAGGGAATAGCAAAATTGTCACAGTAAAGCATAATAGATTTATAAATATCGCTGAATATCGCACTAATAGATCAAGGAGAATATAGCCTATAAATGTCTATGGACATTTCAAGAAGCGCAATCGAAAAAAAGGTTTAATAAAAGAGCACATTAGAGATGGGGCAGTGTGGGAAAAAAGAGCACACAGATCTATCGTGGCATGAGGGAAGCAATGATCGACCGAAACGCATCAATGAGCATAAATGAAAGATGAAGCGATTACTCTGTAACAATTATCATATCAGTAGACACAGAGACACTTGCTTTCATACTAGGTTGATGAGCTTGCAGAACTTAGTCCGCTTCCCATTCTGCAGAAGCAAGAAGTCGGTGGTTTATAATAAGCAGCCCTTGTATCATTCTTTTTTTGAACCCATAACATGAACTCTTATATGAGCACCACCTTAATTAGGAAATTATTCTTTTTTTGTAAAACAAAGGATGTATGACAGTCAAATTTACAAAGCATAGCATAACTAGGACAACAACTCTTTACCATCATACATTTCTCACTATTCTCTGTTCTCTCCATTCTTCTTATTTCTACTTGTTTCCATAATAACAACCTTTTTGCCAATGTGAGTCATTCGTTGGCACTTCGATTTCAGACGGACGGTTTTTTAGTTAGACTTTATGATCATTAGGGATGGTCTTAAGCTCAACTTGTCCAGATTTTTAAAGAAGCCCTATTGACTGGACTCAGCGTTGCTTCAAGTAGATTTATCGATATTAATGAGTGCACATGTGACCTTAGATAGCGCTAAACCAAACTGAGAGCATTTCCGACGTGATCAGTTAGCCGCTAGTATTCAAAAATTTTACGTCATTGTCAATGCGCAGTTAATCGGAAAGTAAAAGTGATTGCGCTAAAGTTCTTACTTCAATTCGTGCTTTATCATTTAATCATGCAACTCATTTTCGTTGCCATATCACCGAGCATGATCGGTAGAACTTATGAAAGCAAAGAATGAAATCTCTCATTCAAAAATCACACCAGAAATTGCCCAACCCTTACCATCAAATGCGATAACTTCAAAGCCTGTTTAAATAAACAGTTTTCAACACACCTTTTTGGTAGAAGGGTATCACATTAGAGTCAGGCAAGAAATATTTATTAGCAGGACAAAACCAAGACGGTAAACTACTTTTTTTCACTGGACTACCACCAACTGGCATCGAACCCATGCACTCTGAGCACGTTAATGATTGCGCCACAATGATTACGTATACCTAAGGACAACTGCTTCCATTTTGAAACCATGAAAGAAGCATAATATCTTGTGAGACCAAATTGCACAGAGAAAAGTAATGCAGTGATAAGATCGACCATCAATCAATCGATTAATAAAAACCAGAAATCATGAACAAGAGCTTGAACAAGTATCAAAGGGCCAAAGAATGAAATGTGATTATATGAACGTGAAGTATTCTTTAAAAAAACGTTGTTCAACCTGAAATACAAAGAAAGATTTTAGAAATTAAACCACTTGATACACTGATTTTAATTGCAAAACTTTTTCCCTCTTACTACGGCATTAATTATTACACATTATTGCCACCTTAGTTCGCTATCTTTCCCAAGTTAACATTTTTGATGAACTGTAAAAATTGAAATAAAACACTGATAATGTATAAACTTTTAACGAGTGAAAGCGTCAAGTATACTTGGTGATAAATGGATAAAATTTAATGAAAAAAGTAACTACCAATTAAAATACATAAATTTAAATGTTTAAATGTCAGAGAAAGGGGAATTATTTAATATTTACCCTCAAAATTTGACACAATAGTGCGCAATTAAGAATTCACTTGGCATCAAAAAAGCGTGTAAATGTCAAATAGTCAACAAGGTGGGGAAGTTAGTCTGCCCACCAAGTACCTATAAATAATAATCGATCAACAGCAGAAGAAAAAAGGTCAAATTAACCCAGATTGAGGTTTAAGATGATCACGTTTTACTTTTGGTAGCCAGAGGTGGCGAGAAAATTGCATTTAATATCGGGTAAATTAGGCAATAGTAAAAGTTGAAATATGGTCAATTAAACAAAAAGTAGACAAAAAAGCATTCCAATGCAATGAACTGTACGCATACACCACAGATCATTGGCAATAAAGATGGATTATTATTATTATTATTATTATAGGATTTGTAGAATTCATATGCCACCAGCTGTAATTCCGAACTCTTGCTTTTCCGGAAATCTCATGAATCAATTCAACGTTAGTCTAATTCGAAGACATGGTAAAACCCGATTCGAATATTTTCAGAGCACTCAAGTGAAACGCATAAGTCACATTCCTCGTCCTCAGTAATATCGATGATTGAATTCCTAACCTAACATCTGGATATATAGTGGCACCAGTACAGCAATCGTCACTACAATTGTTTCCAAAACAGACAACTGACCATTAGCAGTATAAAAAATTCCACTTGAAAAATTAGTTCTTTCATAGTCGATATATATATGCATATACTAACATTATAAAGCAACAATCAGTCATCGGCTTGTTATCTATTAGTTTATACAAACATTCTACCTCATATACAATTAATTACACTCTATATTATAAACGCATACTACTTATAACCTCATAAAACATACACTCGGAGTAGATTTTGTTACTTCCTTGCACAATAGCAAAGTTCCCTAAAGGTTTGGATACTAGCTTAACAGGATTCCTTAAGATTACATCGGCGTCTACCAAGCTGTAACTATTATACCCTGCATGGAAAGACTGTGTACTCCAACACATCAAGTTAAGCACGTTCAATTCACCATTTCATGTAGGAAGGTAGAATCAAAGAGCCTCACAAGTGAGAAACTCGAAATCTTCTGCCCCTTTTAGTAGCCAGTTGCAACCAATCTTTGGCTGACAATTCCACTCACTAGATATGGATAGTTGGGAATCAAGCCCATGACCTCTAACTATGTAAAGGAGCAAGCAATCAGTAGATTGAAGACAGAGACAGTGGTATAGCTTCAAAAATTTGTTTACCAGCAAGTTTCGAAAACATCGACTTCCTCACCGATTCTAACTCGAGAAGTGTTGTAAAGTTCTGCTTCCTCAGCAACTTGACATGATCTTGCGCTTCGCGAAGTTGTATTTCCAATTCTTGTCTATTTGCGTTCCCATTGGCACCATTTTCATGTAAAAATGTTTCCTTAGGTGTCAGGCCTGTCTAAGAATATGACGAGGATGACAGAAATCGATAGAAACATAATGGATAATGAAAACTCTTAAAGAAAATTACTAGCTTACTAGAAGAGGAGAAGTGGTGGTCTTTTTGGTATTATCATGAAAGCTCTGAATGCGCACCTTGGCAGCTTCAAGTTCGTGCTCCAATAAAGCTCTTTCCTTTTCACAAGTTTCCAGCGACTCAATGGAAACGAGGTACTGTAAATTTAGCCGTTGTAGGAGCTGCTTTTCAAGAGAGGATTGTTGAATTTGACTAGACTCAACGATTGCTTGCCAGAACTGAAGTAAATAATCGAAAAGCTCATCACTTCCAGAGACATCGGTCACATTGCCTCTACTCTGCAAGACCGTAAGTATTAAATCTGAGGGGGATGGTTTGATAGTCTGGGGCTGAAATGTGAAAAATAAAGTTGGGATTGATTCTGCCATACCTTGAAACCTCTGAGTGCATCGACCATAAAGTAGCAATTAATAGAATGACCCCCCCCCCCACATTAATTTTGTTAGCTAAATGTGCTTTCTATCTCAATGTGCTTTCTGTATTAGGAATGTTTGAGAGTGCGTAAAATAAATATCACACAAAATAAATCGAAATTTACCGATAATGATTCTTTATTCTGATTATGCGATTTCTCCGACCGAAGCTGGCTGATTGTTTCTGTATCATTTTTGTGAATTTCTTGATAGGTTTGGAGAGTGGTAACTATATCTGATATCCTAGTCTACAAAAGGCTTAGATATTAAGCTTATGATAACATTACTACTTAAATTTTTAAGTAATAGCATACCTCGAAATGTTGGGTAGAGATTTCATGTTGTTCTTGAGCTTGGATAAGGGCAAATTCCAAAGATTTTGAGTTTGTCTGCTCAGATTCCAAATCACGAGTTAATTGATCAATGTGTCTATTTAAGGAGGGTATTTTATCAGCCTCTTCCCGATATCGATTTTTCTCAAGAACCTATAATGCAAAGATGCAAAAACATAAGCAATCCAAGTAAAAGGGAGGAGAGTAGAGTATAATAGCTTACAAGATTTTTGAGCTTGTCAGTAAGGTCAGAAATTTCAACTGACTGATTATTTATAGTCTTACTCTTCTCGTCTAATTCTTGGCGTAAGTGAGATTCCTACAAAAAGAAAAGTTAAAAGGTTGAAACTGAAATATGAGCTCAAAAAATAAGTACGTTGAGCTCCGATGAACGCAAAAGCTGGCCGAGCGATTCATTCTCACTTTGTAATTTTTTATACGCTGCGATTATATCTAAATTATGATGGCATTAATATTTAACCACGACAAATTACCTTTCAATTTGGTTTCGTAGCGCTCGATTTTACTAGCCCGTTCATCTAGGAGTTGCTGCATTGAAAACTATTACAGCTGCTGGAAATCACATCATCGGAAAGAAATAACAATTAAAAAAATATAAATAGTATAAATTAAGACATTTTGCAAAAATTTAAAAAAAAATCAGATAAATTATATCTGAAGAAAATATATATTTTGAAAAATGTTCATACAAAATAATATAACATAAAAATTTGGGAAACATCACAACCACCAAAGAGACAAGGTGTAAACAACCCCCTGAATTCACTTCATCAACATATCCATCAATCCATTCAAATAATTGAGGTATGATAGTTGTAAAGTAAAAAATGTTAACTTTTAAATTAAATTCAAGTTATTTTAGACTCCGTGTTTGTACATATAGTTGAGCCCTCAAAATCGTTTTTGAGATCATTTTGGCATTGTGTCTTAATCAACTGTGGTTACTATTACCTGTTAAAAAATGCATTAAAAAAGTATGAAATTAATTCGTTTAAGTGCGTGTGTTAACTTTGTTTATAAATAAATATTGTTGAACACCTGATGTGTTTTACCTTATCGGTATAGGTTCAAATGGTCTGTGCGCGTTTTTTTTAGGCCAAGAGGTTATGGGTAATACTCCTGTTTCGAAGTCAAGAGAAAATGAGAATGAAAATGTTGACCAGCCAAGAACTCCCAAAGTGAAGAAACTCAAATTAGATGATATTGACCCACGTTCACCCACTGAGGGTATAACCAGGACTCCTATTGTCTTGGGTAAATCTACCAAGGATGAGAACTTCAGTCGTAAGTATTTTAAATAAACTTTAGCTGCTCCAGCTCTCGATGTTAGGCTTCCATTTGATACCTCGACATTTGAGTCAATTGACGGTTGCTTGACAGAAGACGAATCAATTCATCAACCGGATGTGTCAACAACTGCTGCTGGTGATAAAGGTAATTTCAATTTGTTTAATTCGTTTGACCTCTCACCCATAACTCTCCATTTTAATATTTGTGTAGCACCTAAAAAGGGAGATCTATTGGGTCGAATGCGAAAATCGCTCAGGATCCATCCTGGATTACTCATTCAGATGCGAAGAATGCAAAAGGCTCATCACGATAAACAACAAAAGGGGCATGAAGGCAACGCACCTGGTAACATAGTGAATAATGAAAGTTCTGGTAATCATCCCCATTCCACAGCTGATTCAGAATCCGCAGGTTTTCTTGAGAAGTAGTCATTAACTCAGCATTTCCTTACTCATGTTTGATTTATTTACATGTGTACAGTCAATAATATTTTGCCACCTTGTCTACTAATTAGTGCTTTTTGTATACATGACATGTATTCATGGTATTACCTTATTATTCCCGCTTTTTGCCTCTTGGTTGTGGGGACGTATTTTATTAGCAACACTAGGCAAATTCAGTTTGTTTTCAGTAGTGATTGCTAATGACTAACCAGTATTTAATCTTTATTTTCAGTTTGACTTTCCAAGTTCTTGCTTCATGGAATTGATTGTTAGAGTCCTTTTTCGGCATTCACGTTTCTTCCGTTTGTTGATTTGTTTCTACTATTGCAACTCACAGTATTCGACTGGTAGGTTAATGTGAAAATCTTTTTCTTCCCAGAGTGTCTCCTGAGAATCTAATTTATTGCCTAATCTCCCTACCTCAATTTTCCTAAAACGGCATATTTTAAAAGTTTCATCTATGTATACTTTTAAGCACTGGTCAATGCACGTATTAAATGTGCCCAAAACCCGTTCTTTTATGAAGCTATTTTTAGAAAATCTATTACCTCAATAGGGTATTGAGAATTTACATAATTGGGTAAGTTCACTTTACTGCTTCTCAATTAGGGCAACTGGTTTCCTACGTGTAAAACATGTTGATCGTAGCTCGAATGAGGTGGAGCGTATTTACGTTAACAGACTGATTCATTTGCCAGAAATCTCTATTCGGTCGAGCAGCAAATCGAACGTCTTTGCACGAGTTCAAATTAATTTTCTCTGCTATTTTTCTTTAGTTTTGCAAATCCTGATCCAGTTCGATAGTCCATTTTGTGTTATTATTCGAATTTCTAGTTAAATTTGCGCTATCGACCACATGAATGGCCCCGTTTGTGTGAGTGCGCTTAAATGTACTTCAGCACTTTAGACATCCGGCGGGAAAAGTATCTTGGTGAATTGTATCCTCTGTGCCTAATAAGAAGTTGTATATATTTTGCGATTATTGGTTTTGGGTGAAGATTAGGACTTGGAACTTGTGGTCTGCTCTTCACCAATTCAGTCAATGTATTTAGTAATACCGATGAAATGAGCACATGTGATATGTCGTTTCTCCGCTAATCAGAGGGTATATAAGTGCGTTAAGTGACAGATAGGCTTGAGTTTTCCTCCACGGTGACTTGTTTTTTTCTCCAACCTTGTTTCCGGACAGTACACAATTAGGCAGAACTTACCACTGGGGAAAATACCGAAAAGTGTACAAACTATCAGCTAGTGCATTTAGTGACCCCTTGATATCAGTCTAATTTGATCAGTATCAGTTGTTATGTCTGTCACGGTTTGTGTGGCAACGAATATCAAATTTCTGGTCTCGAGTATAATTAGAATATCCAATTGGAATATATCCTAAAGCCAAATATTGATCTCATGGACGCGACCCTTCTTTTCAGTTTAAAGGAGTCTTCTGCTGGTTTCTAACAATCACGCATATCTATGAAAATTCCTCATTTCCGTTGTGTCCCACATTGAGGAATTGGTAGCGAATTTCGTTACCTTTAATTAGCCGTTATCAAAGATTTCAATGTAAATTTTATTGATGGAAATTCGTTTTAAACAGAAATAATTGTATTAACTGATTTTGGGTATTTTCATAGGTTAAAGGGAGGTTGGAGGGTAACTTCGTGTAGAAGTAGTCAGATGTTTGACTCCAAGAATGTGCCTACTTATGCACTCATTCTAATATTTATAAATTATTATTTTTACACTGAAAATAGAGTGGAGGATAGTTGCAGACGTTCTTAATCCGGTTGAGGCAAACACCGTTGAGAATTCGCAAGGAAATAAGAGGTTAGAATTTAGCCAATTTAGTCCAGAATGTATTAATAAACTTCAAACGTATCTTTGTGTACAATTAAATTATCAAATAAGAAGTCTCATATTAATTGCTCAGATTCAGAAAGTGTGAGAAAACGTATCGTCAAGGGCAATGTTAGTCAAGTGAAAACTCAGGACATTTAAAAGATTCCCTAAATTCCATTCCAGTATTTTTAGGAGTTGTTAAAAAATGAGAAAAATAAATTGTTGAAATTCCTACCGTTGCCATTTTGTATTTAACAGGGTAAGCTCATCGAATGACAGAATTTTTTTTGATTACCTCGAGCTCAATTATAATCAGAAACATGGTCTGAAAATGCCAGTGTCGGAGCAATGCAACGTAGAAGTCATGACTGCTTCAGGTTGATCTCTCTGTTCACTCAAGAAAAAAATGAGTATTTGAATAGGGCATGATATCTCCATCTATTTACCCGATTTTATTTCCATTGGAATATCTATGGAGTTCGTGTTAGTACTTAACAAAAAGCAACATCTGCTACGAATAAAAGACGCTTAAAAACTTACCTCCCACTTATAACTTCCGTTCGTGAAGACGATGGGATAAACATCACATAAATTTCGCTATGTATATTTTCTTGAGCGCGAAATAATTGCCAATAGCAACTAAAGCACACTAAGGAAAGAATGGTCGAAAACATCTCGCTTGGAGTTCTGCTCAAGTTTCAGCTCGAACTCAAATTAAGTACAAAATAAAACTTACTCCGATTACCTACATGGTTAAGACCTTTGCAAACCCATTTGGAATGCGATTGTATATGCAGGATCTAATAGTACTAAGAACTCTAGTTCTACCACCTCTGCTATTGGCCCAGAAATGACCAAGGCTGTGGTAACTCACACCCTTGGATGTATAGTGAGGGATATCAATCTCGTGACATCTGCCTTTGCAGACTTACACTTTGACCAACTCTCAGTGTATTGCTAGCATAGATGCAGAGGGGGGGAACATCAAAGGGAGATGTAAAAGAGATAGACAGACACAAAGGCAGAGAAAAGGTGAGGTGAGTACTGTGAAAGTAGTCGAATATGGCATACAGTGGGGTGATGGTAGTTTGAAGTCAGAAGTCAACTGCCAGTTAATAGAATTTTTTACCGTACGAGTATAGGTTTCCCAGGGAGCACCACGTGGAGGTAAGTCTATCGCACTCCCCTAAGATTAGATATTTGATCTGATTCTGCCGAAATCACGTTATCAAGAGCGGTTGTTATTTTAGATGTTCCATGCACTATTTTCTATAGTACATTTTGGACGAAATTCAGCTATGCTTTAATTAAGAAAAATTAATGAATTACGAGTGAAGAGCAAAAATAGATTTTCGTTTTTACTTACTTCGCAACACTAAGCTTGAAGATGTCCAATCACTCGGACATGTTCACGTATTCTTAAAAATCTAATATTTCTTTTGCTTCGTCAGGACAAGGATGGTGTGCAAACCAGGATTCCCGATTGAATTTTTAAAATTAGTAAAAGTCAAACATTACTCTAATTTTTATTATTACTAAAGAATAGCCACTCAGAAGATGAGTTATGCGTAATTTCGAGGTAGCCAATGGCACACGTTCTTCCATATTTTTCTTTCACCTTTTGCCCGTATTTTCAAAATGTTTGATTTCCAATATTTATTTATATCAAATGGCAGACGTTTTGATAGTTACCATTAGGCTTTTAGTTGACTTCAGGCTCCACAGAGGGGAAGGAACATCAGAATGAAAAAGTCGAGAGGAGGGGATGGAATAGAAGTGTTTCAAAGATTTACAAGAGACAGACACAAAGGTAGAAAAAAGGTGAAGCGTGTAATGTGGAAGTAGTCAAATATGACATGCAGTGGGGGCATGGTAGTTTGAAGTCAAAAGTCAACTGCCGGTTAGTAGACTTTTTTGCCGTGTGAGCATACTTTGCCCAGGGCGCACCACGTGGAGGTAAATCTATCGCACACCCCTTGATTTCCAATATTAAGAGTAATTTAATCTACTTAATATGTTCCTTCGTCCCATAGGCTGATATTATATTTTATCCTTGCAAACAACAATTTGAGAGTTTTTACAAACCATATAATTCCATCCAAATACATTTTGTAGCGGATTGCTACCTTAGTAAAGCCTGACTGACTCACCCTAAGTAAAGCCTGACTGACTTAGAAATCTCTATGGCAGATTCTCCTGACTCAGAAATCTCTTTGGCAGATTCTCCTACATCTCCTAGACTCCCAGAACCAGCGGAGATTCTCCTACATCTACCTAGACTCCCAGAACCAGCTAATCTATACCCCAGCTACGAAAGGAAACAGACGTGTACCACGGAGTACGTTTATTCAGTACGAGTATTGCGGATAATGCGTACACGCAGGGTGCTTAATCATGATCAGGATGGCGGATTAG